AAAGTCATGTGAAAGAAATAAGCCTTTCCAAATCTCTCACTGGGAGTGCTTCACATCTGTGAAACCGGTGATTCGACTGACCAAAAAGACACACACCATGACAGGTAATAAAGTCATCCTCGTCAACAGCTACTGAAGTAACCACCAATCACAAGCCACAAACCTCGGACTTCAGATCTAATCCCGCATCAACACCAAAGGCAACTTGATGTCATATCTCCGTTCAAGTTGAGAACATGGGAGTTCCTTACGAGGATAGTGTTGCCTCATCCGTATAGATGTTCACGCCTGCTACGTTCTTCTGGAATATGACTTCACTACTCGCTTGTACTCACCACTAAGTTCTAGTTCTGACTCATGAAGCTTGACCTCGTGTGCCTCGCTTTGTGGTCTGATCATCCGATATCGTTGGGTACATTCCACTCGTGAACGTCTACGCGTCAGGGCTGGGAACGCCTTGTTCCTTTTCCTTACCTTGACGAGTACGTTCTGAGCGGAAGCCCATGTTATTTGAGCATCGCCTACAGACAGCACAACCATAAGGTGAACAGCACACAGATTCACCGCAGAGATGAGACGGTAGTTGTAATTATCATCATAGATGCTATGTAGGTATTTACAGCAGGCGCGGATCGATATGTACAAAGAAGCCATTCCTTCCATTTTGCCTTGTTCACACCTGATATTGAAAGCCAACAAAAAGAAGACAAAGAATTTGCTTCTTTCTGAGGAGATCGAGAGATTTATCGCCATGCTAGGTAGGTCAGAAGGTGGTCAGGTAGCCTGCAAGCAGCCAGCTAGGAAAAAAGAAAAGCAGAGAAAAGATAGATGCCCCTAACAAACAAAAAAAGAGAGAGAAAAAGATGCCTTCTCCCAAACCCAGAACTTGAAAAGGATGGAGATTACCAAGTAAAACTTTCCTCCACAAAATCAATCACCGTCCCCCTCTCCCTCTGACAATTCCTCACCGCATGCCTCACATCATCCGCCAACCCACCCGGTCCGCACACCGTCACGCACATGGCCCCCTGCTGCTCATGTACCTCCTTAGCCATCAACATCGGTATGTTGGGCCGACCAGGGAACATCTGCACTGATCGCGACGCGCTCGCCATCTCCCTTGGGTTCTTCGGCCTCGTTACGAACAGTTTGATGTGCAGGATCTCTTTTCGTCTTGGCAGCCTCAGGATCGCGTCCATCCACGGCCTGATCCACTCGAGAGACTCAAAGTCGCGCACAATCCAGATCAGCACCACGCGCCGCGTGGCGACCGTGCCGTCCGCGTACCCCTCGACCAGGTGGCGCAGGTACGAGATCTGGTGCGTGATGCCCGTGGCGCCGCAAAAGAGGACGGCCGTGCCGTAGCTGTCGAGCGAGTGGTGGCCCGCGTAGGGCCCTTCGAACGCGGCGCGGATCGTGATGCCTGGCTTTCGGCGGTCGGCAGTGCCGGCTACGGCATGGTTGTACAGATTGCGGGTGAAGCCCGAGTGGGCGCCGATGACGAAGGAGACAGAGGTGGCGACGGGTTTCTTAATGCTGAGACGGGAGGAAGGACTTGCGGCTGCGCCAATGTCCTTCTCGGTGATGGGAAGCAGTTCGTCCTCGGTGGTGTGATCGACCCAGGCGATGGAGAACGGGTGGTTCTCCCACGAGCGGATGCCGCTGAAGCGGAGGTAGGCGTGGGTGCCCGGCTGGACGTCGACGTAGCGCGGGAGGCTGAGGGTCACGCGGCAGGTCTCGCCGGGCATGGGCTCGACGAAGGCGGTGGTGATTCCACGAGCGCGTGACCAGTTGCAGTAGGCGAGTCGAAACATGCGTGCGAACCGGTCGGCGATCCAGACGCAGAAAATACCGATGATCCAGGGGAGCTGGGGAAGTCCGCCCGGGAGGGTCGCGGTGACGCAGTGGACCCACGTCGCAGCGAAGGAGACAAAGGCGAGGATGATGTGCGTGTTGAGGAAGGTCTCGTAGAAGGCGTGGCGCACAGGAGACAGAGACAGAATCAGAATGGCGACCATGGCGGCTGTACCGGCCATTCCAGAGCCGATGAAGCGGTCATTGAATGTCTTCTCTTTGACGCCAGCCCAGCCATTGTCGGCTACCTGGACGATGGCCCATGCAATCAAGTGAAGGAGCACCTCAAAGACCACGACACGGCCCATCCATCGATGAAGAAGATTATATGTGTCGAAGCTGACTTGTAGGAGACCAATAAGCGGGTTGTTTCGGCCGGCGAGGATGATGAGCGGAACCATATTGACCATGGCAAGAGTGCCCGACCGTCCGCGAAGTTCGGCCAAGAATGAGTACTTGTTCTCGTTGCCCCAATTGAGGATGAACATGTACGCTAGGTTGCTGGCCAGATAAAGGAGAAGAAGGACGCTGTGAAGCCTCGAGGGTAGAGTACCCATGTTCATGGCGCTCGAGAGTCGGATTTCTCGGTTGTGGCGTTTGTTCCATAAGGGGGCATAGATGAGATTCCTCTTGACACCCGGCATCCAGCTCCATTGCTTCACTTTCCAAAAGTGTTGCCTATCGCCTGGGATAGACATGGCTGAAAGTAACCGTAGCTTCGCCCATGATAGCTCTATGATTCTGACTCCCAGTACCACGACGGCGACCGCCCCCATACTGAGCCAGAGTGTATCCCTAAACAAGAGGTTCATAGGTTGGTTGACTCCGCTGAGTCCTGTGTTGAAGGGGGCGATGGTGGGATTCGCCGCCCTTTCGGGTAATGTATGTGTTGCTGCCATATCTTCGTTTCGTATTTGCATTGCTGGTGTGAAGTGATCGCCTGGGTTGTTGAAGTCGAGTGCAGCGAGCCTGCGCCGCTGGATAAGATCCATTTGCGATGTTGTAATGTTTGAGAGTTCGACGTGGTCCGGTGGTAGGTAAGGTCCTTAAACGAGGGTAGAGAATGCGGGTAGAAAGCTAGGAGGAGCTTGTGCCAGTGGTCTTCGCGCTAAATGTGTCGATTCGCTGAAAGAGAGTGTGCGGTGATCCAGATTCGTGAATATTATCGAATGAGATGCCAACTAGTGTATAATCGTATCATGCTCAGGCAAAACCGAGATGGAACGTTCTCCCGAGACAAGAATCTCGAAATGGCCAAGTGAAGCGCCCAAGCCGCCCGTTGGGCTGGGTTCAGGGGGATGAAGCAAACAAACTCTTGGTCTGTCTTGGTCCCTGACTATTCACTTGTAAGTACCGGGGGTAGAGGCGCTTGCTTGTCGTTGGTGCGGCGCTGCGCTGGGCCTCTGAAGGATAACGAGAATCAACTTTGGATCTTCTTTGCCTGATAATACCCGTGTGACTTATGACCGGATCCCGTGCCGGCTAGGTAAACCCAAGAACTTTGTATTGTAGGTCGACAACTGACGATTTTCCCCTGTTGGTTGATGATGGGCTGCGCCGGCGAGCCTAAGTTGATCGATCAGGGGCAAACACCGCAAACTTGCTGGTAATTGTCCGACGGAGGGCCCTTTTATCTAACCGAAGAACCTGTTCGAAAGGTTGCTTTGCCGTCTCTTTTGCGCAACGGGCAACGTGTGATTTGCTGGCAGCTGGTGACAACAGTTTGTCGCTGGGGTGACTAGAAGGCGACGGGAAGGGTAACCGTTGAATCGTTTATCGTTCGGTACTGTTTAACTTCATCCACCACCAAAGACCTTGTTTCTGGGGAACAATTCCCCGCGTGCCCGTGACGGCGGTAACGAAAGAACCAAAGGCGAACTGACGTGCACAGTCTGTGACTGCCGGTGTGTAGAATCCAAATCCGACAAATGACTTGGAATGCGAAATGACGTAAAGTGAATGAGAGTAAGGGGTAAAGAGCGAAAGGGGCTTGAAATGACAGGCGCCCTGTGTCAGGTACGTAGTTGGCTGTTCGCAGAAGAGGTGGTAAGTAAAGAGTGCAATGGTGAAAAGAAAGGCAGCGCTTGACACACTCACTAGAAGTTACGAAAGCGATCGTTATTCAGGTCTGTGATCAATAGAGCCGCTCGCGTGGAATGGTCTGGCGAGTCGCTGATTCTCTCGTCCGTCGAGATTGCCCTTTCGGGAATTGGATGAACGACAGTTTAAGTGATGAACCACAAAAACTCCACAACCAGCCGAGGGATGGAAAAGGTACGTAGATCGCCGCGCGTACCCAAAATAAAAATAAAAATAAATTAGAGAGGGACCTTCGCGACCAGACCGCAGGGGAAAAAAGATTTAAAGAGCAACGCCGGCTTGGTGTCTGCAGAAACCAAAAGGGCATGACGCTGTTCCATCCAACAAACGACTGATATGTTCCTCGGCGGCAATCTGCTCCCTCTGCCTCAGCCCAAGCGGAGTAAGACCGAACAAAATTCTCTTTTCCCCCCTGGAGCAGTGGCGGATGCAACGAGCACAACTCGGCGGTCGAACACGCATATACGGAAAGAATCCCGTACGACGAGCAACCACAATCGGACTGTCCTGGGCCGACAAAAGAGAGCCCCAGCCTGGGCAAAGTGGGAGTGTGATCTCACACACCTTGACACTTCACTTGTCCCAATTTCTCTTGTCCGGAAATCCAACCGGACTGGCGGGATGTGGATTCAAGCCCTCCCAGAGCACGGGGCCCTGCAACGAATTGTGACATTGGGTTCGCTTCGCCCCATTCCAAGGAGGACTAGCCGGATAAATCGGAGCACATGGAATGAGGGAGATCCTATCGTGGATCAACAGGGCAAGGATGTATTGTCCAAGAGGCCCAGCGGTGCTCAGCCCACGGGCAGGCCAGTCCCGAGGGACTATTGGAGAGACCGTACGTCTGGCTGCCATGCTCTCAGGGGCAAAAACAATGACGGGGGGAAAAGACCAAAAGGATTGGTGTACAACAAACGCAAGATGCTGCGGGGTGGTAGTTGGACCACGCAAAAGGGAAGCTCCACCATACGGCCTGAACCCAGGGCTCAGCTTCTGAAACATCAAACATTGCTGCTTGATGGTAGGCCACTTGCTAAGCGGACCGTATTTCCGCTTCCTCTACTTTCTCTTATGTTTTATGGCTCCATCCCTCTTTTTCGCTTGATATTCCCTTCCCCATTTGCCCCCAGGGGGGCCTTCGTGGCTGGTCTCCACGACATTTCGGAGATCGTGCCATTCCCAGATAACAAGCTCTTGGGCCCATCAGCGCACGGCCTGGGAGCTTGGCTGTTCGATCCTGTACGTACCACGCCTCCATTATATGCATTGCCATGATTTACAGGCGTACGGTAACACCGCAACAACAGAGTGGACGGGGTTAGCGTAGGAACCCGAAGTGCGTAGTCTCACGACGTTAGAAGAGACGCCAATTAACTATGCTTGCTATGCAAAGGGCCGGCAGTCGTCCACGCCCTTAACAGATCCCTTGGCAGGCTCGGGCGGCTAGGGAGAGAATGTCGTGGGATCGAGAAGGGACCATGTGCGATGCTCGACGTCATGATACGAAGAAGAATGCCAGTGAACGGCAGCCACGAGTCTCCCGGCCTTTCGGATAGGAACCGTTATACTCGTCAGGGATTCGAAATCTAACTAGCGGCTGGCGCGAGTAATAAAGGCCTGGGCACTTCCGTGCTCGAGTTGGTGATGTTTACGCAAGCGATCCGAGGTGAACATGGCCCGGCCCCATGACGATTCAAGCTCCCTTCTTTGACTTCTTTCTGCAAGTGGTACGAATCTAGCAGATTAAGTCAATAGCGGCCCCATTGTGGGGAACTGACCCCTCTAAATGCTCCTTGTCATTATATAAACGTGGGGGGAGGGGGGGAGGAGTGCTGCCGACGCAACAGAACGGCAGGACGAAGCCAAGCTCTTTGGAACATTGCTGCAAGAAACATCGAGACTATCGGAACCAACCGGCTTTAGAGCGACGCTCTGTGGACCTCCAGCGTTACCTGTTAGGTTCGCGGAGGTACAAGGCCCGGTGTCATTCACCTGGCGTACTCCTGCCAAGGATCACAATCATATATACAGCCCTGCGCTTGACGTGAAGCTGATAGCTTTCCCTTTTGTGTCCATCAAATTGTGAAGCGAACGGAAAAGCGGCCAAAAGTTTGTGGGAGCTTATTCCTTGCATTACTGAGCACATCATGGCAATTTTGCTCGGCCATTTCTCGGAACCAATTCTCCATGGCTTGCGTTCAGTGACTGCAACATTCTGCGTGATGCAGTGTGTATACAGGCTCACATTCAGATCGGAGGGCCGCTATCGTGGTTAGAGCGAGGTAATCTTGTCCGGTTGCAACCCCTACTTGCTCACGGTACACAATTGCTCCCGCTGATTCTGACCCATAACCAGGCAAAACGGGGGGTATTCAGAGCTGTAATGCTGCGAGAAGGTGTATGAGTACAGTTACGACAAGCTGTTGAGTACGTTTCTGGGCTTTCTGGGTTCGCTCCAACTGTTTGAGGCATCCTGGTTGAAGTTGTTTTGCTGGTTAACGCGGAGACCAGAACAGGACCTTTGTATCTCGATGGCAGGCTCAGCTAAAGCGAAATCTAAGATGGAATCCGGAGTTGCATCATCAGTCATGTCAACCCTTCCAGTTCCCGATGTCGATATTCCTTCGGCGCAGCGACCCAGCCGTATCGAGCCATTTCTCTAGGGAAACCATGGAGATAGACAGTCAGAAGCTTGCTGTAACCCCGACCACCGCGAGGCCGCCATGCAGGCTTCTTGATGGTTGTCTTCCATCAGGCAGCCCATCTGGTTGAAGTAGAGCCCAACCTGCCCGATATGCGGTTCATCTTGTGATCCCCAAGGACTCCAGCCTCACGAAGACGTCAGGTTTGACGCGCGATAAGCCGGAAAAGCCGTGCCTCCTTGCCGCGATTTGATGGCCGATCTTGCTTGAACTTATAGAGTGTATTTGATGTCAGAAGCAGTGAATTCCCCACGGCATGACGCGATGATGTTCGGAAACTAACCATCTAACACCCGTCAACTAAGATCTTGAATTCTTCCCGGTGCGCGCGTCCTTGAATTTGGAATCATGCTGTATCTGGCCGGTCATCCCTCGCGGTGGGCAGGGTGCCCCCCAGAAGACAACTGGCTCGGGCAGGCGATCTGGCTATGCCTTTGCCGGTCAGCGTACAAGAGGGCTCTCCTCATATAAGGGCCTCCGATCATTCGCTGAATCCTGAGAACTTCGTCGAGATGGAAGAACGTAACGTCCGTATCTTTTCCGATCTCTAAGGCTCCGAGGGATAACTGAGTGGTTGTAAGGATAACCGAAGATGGACAGTCCGATCCTGGTTGCTCGGCTGCTCGATTATGAGAGCCCGTGACGAAGCGGTAAGATGTTTTTTTTATTTTTTTATTTTATTTTCTGGTGATACGATGGAAGCATTTGGGATCTGAGTTTAGTTAGGGTGCTTTGATCCAGAAAGAGGCATTGTACTCGGCGTGATCAGTATGCTTTGCTGTGGCTATTTGATCGAGTGCAAAGAGGCATTTGAAACCGGAAAGGACAATTCGAATACGCAGTGGCACAAGACTCGGGGCCGAACAGTCATTATAAGAAATGTAACAGGAACCATGAACTGGGAAATGGCAGTAATGGACAAAGGTCCGGAAGCGGAAGGGTTAGTGGACGAGAAGTGATTGAATGGGTGAGAGAAAGGGGACGTTGTAAGCCATCATATGCCACAGACATGAATGAATGCATTTATCGAGATGTTGAGTAACCGTAGATCTCGGTCATGCTACGCATAGTGTATGTACATATCCGAGCCACCCAACACCCGCGCCAAGGTCGCCGAACCACATCTGAAATGCGGACGTCCGAGCTTTCGCCGTACGCTGACGGCCGAAGGCAAACGCATCATCACGACCGATCGACGAGCCATATTCGCCGGCACCTTGACTCCTACAGCACCTTTTTTCTACCACACTCACGAGTTTCTCCACGAGGCACGAGCGCACCAAATCGTACGCAGCAAGCAGCACAGAGGCAAAAAGAGGGAAACGGGAAAGGAACTTGATCGATATGTCTACCGTCGCAAGGACTGGCGAGTCAGCCGGCAAAGTTCTGTCGCTGGTATGCAGCATGCCTTTCTGTGCACTTCTTTCCCTGGATCGCAAACGGTATTTGGGCTAGAACAACGCAAACGCTAACATCTTTGCCTTGAACCAACAGTATCGTCAGCTTTTGCGCCAGGGAAACCAGTTTTCCTCTTACAACTTCAGAGAATACGCCAAGCGCCGCACAAGAGACGCTTTCAGGGAAAACAAGAACGTGGAGGATCCTAGACAGGTGCAGGAACTTGTGCAGAAAGGGTTACAGAATCTCCAGATGCTCAAGGTATGCCGGGCACTTGAGCTGAGACGCGACCTGGAGAATACAGACAAGTTGACATTGGAATAGCGCCAAACAGTTATCAGCCAGTTTTACCAACAGGACCGCTTGGTCGTTGAGGGCGGGCTCTCGGTAAGTCTTCCTGAACGGATCCGTGGAGTATATCAGAGGTGATCTAACAAGTCGCAGGGTAAGGATAAAGAAGGAGGTAAGCTCAGGCAGAAGGATACTGGGTAAGTTATAATCTTGAGAAGCAGATTTGAGAAGAGCTGTCTTGCTAACGAACTGAACCTCAGCTGGGACTAAATGGCTGCAGACGAAAATCTCTGTTTAGTTGTCGCTTTGCACGAATGACACCGGAAGAAGAAAAGCTATGTATAATACTATGAGTGAAGGGTTGGCGAAGAGTACACCTGTTCGAGCCCGCAGGAATGATGACGCGATACCAATACCAGCTTTGATTTAGCAGGCTAACAAGTCCAAAGGTGGTGGTCTACGGGGCTTCTCTGATAGCAGAGGATAATTAAATCAGTTACCAGATCAAGTTCCAGTGATTCGGGACAATCATGAACGGTCCCTTGGGTGTAGATTGTGTCTTGTTTGTGTCGTGCCATGATAACCGGCTTTCCGGATCACCAACAGAAGCTGCGAATCCTTGTCGCAACTGGATCGACTCGTTCCTTGCATATCCGAGATCAGTTGGGCAGTGAGGGCTGCCTTAAGAAGGTAAATTGCTTTACCGAGCATTTATATCCCATTGGCATGGTCAGTGCGACCAGTGCGCGCGACCAGTGACCACTGCAGGACGAGCCACTGCAGTCCATCGAAGGCTGTCGCAGAGTGTCAGGTTGGCCGCCGCGACTTGAATGCGACGCGCAACATCACCTTGTCGACTTCCATCCTTCCATTGACAACATTCTTAGCTGGTAGCATAGGATCGATTTCTTGTGGAAGCTACCTCTGCATCAGTACGGGCTCCCCTTACTCTTCTCTTTCTCTATTACATACCTACCTACCTATAGTTTGCGCCATATCGTTACGTAGTCCGGCATCTAGTCGCTTTTAGCCGATCTATCGTTGTCGTTCATCGTCATCCATCCTTCTATTCAGGTTCCAACACAGAACAAGCAGCACTTAGAAGCAGTCCCTGGACCGCTGACTTGCACTCACCCACCGACGTTGATCCACCTCTATTCAAAGTTAGACTTCGACATATTCGACCATCTGTTCTGCGGTCACCAGTATACATCTACGTACCTCCCTCTTGGATAGAGCTATTGGTGTTTTGGATATCGGCACAACGGTGTTACACTTGTTTGGCGTTTCGTCCTTATCTGCCTGGGCATGAGAAAGAACAGCTGGAGGTTCGGTATCTCAGTAGACAGACCTTCTCACACTTTCAATGGCGCCCACCGTGAGTTTGCTCGCCTTAGTCCCGTCTCGAGTTCCTGCTAGCTGTCACAACTGAACTGCTTCTGACTATGCGGTTGTGTTTGCGCAACTCTAGTACCATCGATCAGCAGCCCAGACTCGGCGTGGCGCTCGCAGCGGTTTCCCGGAACACGACGACTTCGAGGGTCTACCTGTACGCCAATGGAGACAGGAATGGGTCAATGTAACACCTCCCCAACCCGCAGAGGCTACGCAGAAAAACGATATTTGGGACGTCGAGCTGCCCTTTGGCATGCCCAAGGAAACTAAGCTGCTCCCAACCCACAGCCAGGAGCTCCTGCGCGCCGCTCGCTCTGGCCGACTCTATAAGAGACCTGCTCCGACCGACGACGACGATGAAAATGTCGACATTGACAACATCAAGGGCGACAAGAAGGAAAGCGATGCGGCTGCTGAAGGGTTCACCGTGAAGATGTGGAAGCAAACACCACGTAACATCGAAGGACCTGCTGAATCACATCTGGCCAAGCGCCATAAGAACACGGTCACATTACCACCAAAGTCGAGGCTGGTACAGATAGCCCAGGGACCGACGGTTACCAGAGCAACCGTCCGACGTATTGACGCCGCCGGCAACCCCTACGAGCAGACGATCACTTTGGCCGAGGGACAACAGGTTGATGGCGAGATCATATCAACAACGGTGGTGCCGGCACCAGTGGCTGCGGCCGAGGTTGCGGCTCAGGCTGCGCCGCCTGCACCAGTCAGGAGAAGGCCTCCTCCACCAAAGCGGAAGGCCAAGGGCCCTGGTCGAGGTCGCAAGAAGGGCAAGCTGCCACTCCCAACAACAACGCGGCCAGAGCCGACTAGTGTGGAGGCCGGTGATGCAGAGGTCAAGATCGAGGGCACTCCAGTAAACGTAAGTGTTTCTCTAACGTATATCACACTCGCGCTAGCAAAGCTGACAGTACGGCGCAGGGAATCAAAATCGAAGAAACCGGTGACAGTGCGAACCAGGATAGCGAGATGGCCGATTCCTCACAGATTCCTTCCGATGATGATGACGGCGACGATGGCGACGAAGGGGAAGAAGAAGGCGATGCCGACGAAAGCATGGCTGAGGGCGATACCCCTGGTGTTGATACCAGCATCAGTCAGGACCAAGACCAGGAGATGGGCGACGCAGGAGCATTGGAAGTTATTCGGCCCAGCTCAACTGAAGAGTCAGAAGAAAGAGATGCCGGTAATGAGGAAGATACTGCTGCCAGGTCGCGCCTTGGCAGCAGCCTCGCCCCGCCAACGCTCGGATCACTTGCGTCAATGAGACTTGAAGGGAGTCCACTGAAGAATGTAATGATCCGATCGCCAACAGAGCCTCCAGAGTCTAGGTCAGATGTGCCAGGGGTTGAGGGATCTTTCTTCCCGTCTACGGCTGTAGACGACGTCAAGTCCGAAGTTACGGCTGCGGCGAAGGAGTTTGACACACAAGACAATTCTGTCAGTGCTGCCTTCCTTTCCGAAGTGGTGGTAGAGGCCGAGCAGCCGGTAGCTGACGCAGTGGATGTTACAACTGGAACCATCGCAATGGATGTCGACACCAACTCTGAGCAGCAACAGCCCGCAGAATCGACTCCATCTGCCGAGGCTAAAGTTGAGGATCTTGGGGCTGCACTAGACTTGCCAGGGCTACGGCCAGAAGCTCCAACCTCAATTTCCACGTCGACCACATCATCTACGGCGGGTACAACAACAGAAATGTTTACCACGGCCACAGAAACAGCATCGGCACTGATAGAATCCTCGTCCGTTCCCGCAGACGCCCCGATGGAAGAAGTCGATGTGCTTCGGGAGCAACTTTCAGACGATGCTGTACCCACGATAGCAGAGCCCTTGCTCCAACCGCCAGACTCCCCGGCCCTGCTCCCCACTGCTACGACAGAGGATGAAGACGACGGGCTTAACTTGCTCGGTAGCCTGGAAAGGGAACTAGACCGTCAAGAGGAAGTGAGTCGCGCCGGTAGTGCCGCCAGCGGTGCCGGTACAGGTGCGGCTGCGGGTGCCACTACCAAACAAGAGAGCAACGGTGGAGTGGACAATCAGAAAGACACCAAGGCTGGCGAAGAAAAGCCATTGTCAGAGCCGGAGACACAGGGAGCTGCGGGAGAAGATGGAGGTAATACTGCCGAGTCGGACAAAGTCGGTACTGAGGCTACCGTCGATGTCACTGACATTGCCGATGCTGCTGATCCTCCTCCTCCTCCTCCTCCTCATCCTCCTTCTCCTTCCCCCCCTGCTACTGCTGCCAGCGACGAAGAAAAGCCGAAAGAGGCTACAGCAGGCACCCCAGCGGAAAGTCAGGAAGCGGCTAAACAACAAGAGCAGGGACAGAAGGAAGACGGCCCTGCTTCCACTGCACTTAGTGCTGATGGTGACAGTGTTCTAAAGGAATCAGAACCGGAATCGGTCCATCAAGTCGTTGAACCGCCAAAGCAAGAGTAGGGCGGCCTTGGAGTAGACAAGGAATTTGACGTTGACCGGTTTCGGGGGAAATTGGCTAACGAGCTGAGCTACGTGCGGTAGTGACTCAAAGGGAGTTTTTGTTTTTTTTTTTCGAAAAAGATGTCACTCTCCCGGGAATTGTGTAGTGGATTGTGATTTTTGATAATTCCGTCTTGGGGAAGAATGTGAACAAAAGCTTTGCGAGCTTCAAAGCGAACAAAGGTGGCTGTAGGCTCGACTTGGCCCGACTTGAGATTGAAGATGTCACTCTTAGGTATTTTTGGCATATATGCTCAAGAAAGAAGCGAGGCTGTTTTTCATATGAGATTGTGCAAATTTGTTGTTTGTCGACAGCATCGGTTGTCTGCCTGTCTGGCTCACATTCCGCACCCACTTCAATTTTCATTGTGGTATGCCGACTCAAGATCACGTTGAAGGGTGTGCTGCTAAAGTAGAGGTTCACCGCCAAGGCTAGCAGTGTCACGGGTGGTCTTCGCTGTGATGATCCGACTGGCTTCGCAAAACCTTGCCTTGAACGGGCGCGACCTACGAATCAGAGATGCAGTGGCGCTTTAGAGCACATGACTAACACAACATCAAAAAAGCCGCTTGTTTGTTAACGTCAATCAGATACACGGACACTTGCAAGTACTGATCAACTTCACACGCACATGAGCAAAAATGTGTTCATAACGATGCTATCTGTCTCTAAATTCCAAGACGATCGTACCTAATGCAACTCAATGCGGCCGACTACTCTCAGGAGTCGCTGATGTATATATTGTTCCCCTGCCCACAAACGCCTGCCCGAATGCCCATTTTGAAACGCCACAATGCTAACAAATATACTTGAATGCTTTCCACTCACAATGAAGTGATCATCCATCAACGCACCCAAGGGCGAACAAGAAAAAAAAAAGAAGAAAAAAAAGACGACGCCTTGATAGACAGATGCCAATCGAGGCCCAAAAGTCTCCCACGTCAACGAGAGATACGAAGCCCGTCCTCCCCTCCAGCCACCCTTCTAATTCTCTTTTACCTCCTTTTCTTCTTTCAAGCCTGAACCGTCTCAACCGGAGCAGCACCCTTTGCCTGCTTCCTCGCGTTCTCCGCCAAAAACTGGGCATACCTGCTCTGCTTGTTGTGGATTCCGCACTCAGTCTTGTTTTTGCCCTTCCAGCGCCCAGCACGCTCGTCCTCGCCCGCGGCGACGGGGCTAGTCGAGTGCCAATCACCAATGGACTTGTACCCCTTATCGAGCAGCTCGTTGTAAGGCACTTGGTGCTCATCAATGTAGGCCTTGACCTGCTGGAAGCTCCAGTTGACGAGCGGGTTGATCTTGACGATGCCGCGCTCCTCATCCAGCTCAATGACGGGAATGGAGCCGCGTGCACCTCCCTGGGAGCGGCGGCGGCCTGTGAAAACGGCAGCCACCTTGAGTTCCTGGTAGGCGCGGTTCTGCGGCTCCACCTTGGCGATCCAATCGTATAGTTCTTCGGAGGTTTCGTACAACTTCTCGCCGTAGAGGGCCTCAAACTCGTCGACGTTGGACACGTCGGCCGGCTTGAAGACGTGCAGCCGGATGTTGGGGTAGCGCTCCTGCACGCGGTCGACAAGAGCATAGGTTTCCTTGAAGTGGTAGAGCGTGTCGAGGAAGATCAGGTCGACGGGGGCCGCGTCGGGTGACTCCTTGGCTAGCTTGGAGAGCATGTCGAGCGTGACGAGGCCGGTCAGGCCGAAGGCCGTGGTCTGGAAGAGGTTGGGGAAGAGAATCTTGCAGAAGCGGAGGATGTCCAGGGCCTCCATGTTCTCGAGCTGTTTGTTTAGGTGGTCGAGATGAGGCTTGGTGAGAGAAATCAAGGGAAGGTTGGCGGTGGAGGAGTTGGCGGAAGCGAAGCCGGAGTCGACGGAGGCGTTGTCGTCAAACTTGCCGTCAAGCTTGGGGGACGAGGCCCTGGTAGAGGTCTGGGAGTTTTGCTCGGAGGCCATGTTGAAGATGGATTGTTGGATGGATGAGGCTTGGTGATGTGTCTGTTGTGGATGAGTGAGTGGTGACAGTGTATGTGTGAGACGACCACTTTCGGACAACGACCGATGACGACCTTGATGGACGATACGATAGATCACGGAGCTAAGAATCGCAGGATATGGAAACAAGACCAAGCAAACTACGCTTCGGAAAATGGGAGCAGAGTGGCTTATAAGAGAATCCAGGGATAAGATGGGCTCGACGGACAAGCGTGGAACTGGGGCTGGAATTTATGGTATCTTGTGGAATCCGAGAAGAAAGAGGAGGAATCTGGGGTCCTTTGCGGTTCCGATTTCAACTCTTGCAAATCTGGGGCACAGAGGAAATCATGACCAAGCCAGAATCATTAGTAATTCCGCAAGTCAACGCATCTGCTGGACTTTGACGCCGGGCATTGAGCACACCATCCACACCTACGACTGCAGAGAACGGGTCAGCATTGGCCGTACACCCTCTAGGGTACATTGACTGGACCCATGATGGCCGATGAACGGTGTCAGACCGGGGCTGAAGACGCAATCGCAGCGTCGTTCGCAGTGCATCGGTTTCTTTGGGATGGTGGTGTTGAAAAGGAGGCTGATCACGACATCTGGACGCCCTGCCATTGGTCAATGCCGCCTGGCTTTTGTGGGGATTTATATGCCGTAGCGTCTTCCTCACATCGGACGGTTTGAAAGACGTCCGGCCGTCCGTTGCTTAACTTGGGACCCCCGGGGTGCCGATTTCTCTGTGGCGAGCAGAGCGAAGCTCCAACCAGAGCAGGACTTTTGCTTGCTCAAAACCCCCTCGCTCTATGTCTTCGCTCCGTGCCCCTGGCGTCCCAAAGGCACGCTGCTCTGTCGTCAGAGACCCAAGTCTTGATCATTAACGTCATCACCTACCAAAATTGCATTTTGCTTACCCGTGGCTTGTGATCGTGCTTTCAGGCTCATAGAACATGGCGCATGTTCTAGCGCGATCTGTCAGCCGTTGCCATCTCATGCAGTGTACACTACAGCATGCGGTTTTGATGTGTTTCCGGAAACTCGTTGTATCTTCTGCTTAGAAACTGTCGCCATCCAATCATATCCCTCGGACAATTGCAGCCGAGTAGGGTCTTCAAAAGTCGCGTGTGATGTCACTTTTCCCCTTCGCTTGGCCCCACAAGGCGCGACGTTAATCCACCGTACATCGAGGAATGGAACTTGAACATTTTGCGATTACTTGGGCTTCCACCGCACCGGTAAGGTGTCGCGCTTCTCTTGGACACACTGCGCATCATGAGATTGGAGGGCATGGAGGTATCTCATTCTTTGGAAGCCCGTTTCTTTGGAGGCGAGATCGCCTTCTTCTCTTGTCCTGGGCCTTTTGTGCCACTGCCATGGAAAAACTATAACACCACGAAGCAACATCAACCGGGAAAAGATTTCTGAGGATAGACGCATGTAGTTTCCTACGTGCTGCAAGTATCTGCATACCGCTTACTTTCCGATTGTCAGGATCAAGTTCAGAAGTTCCCTTACCGAATGCCGCGAGGCCGATATCCGCTCCAAAACCCCAACAGCAAGCACTCTTTCCACATCTGAAACCAAGGGCGTTGAGAGAACCTCAGTTTCTCGTCAGCCGTCCGGAGATGCTAAGCTCCATTTAGTTTCCACCGATCTCCAAAAGCCCATTTTTCCATCAACCCAAGATTAATCCCAGACTGGTGATAGACATGGACATGCTGAGGGTAGTTTGGGAACAAACGGGCGCAAATACGCGGCCTGTCATGCGATTCTGAAACCCTGTGCCAACTTTGCCTTGGGCATAACGAACCTGGTCGCCAACAGCGCTCTCCTGTTAATCCCTTCCACCCAGGCGCATATCATATGCCACCACGACGGGGGAAGGCATGGCGTGCCGTCCAGTCTCGTGCTCCGATCCCGGTAAAGCCGCTCCATTGTCAAGGTCCCGGGCGGGGCAGCACGGGTGCCAAAACCAGGCTTTTGGTGGGGTCGTGCATGCCGCTTCCACTTCGGTTGGTGTTCCCCAAGGCACTGCATAGGTTGTGCCAGTCCTGACGCCGGAGAGCGAAACTCAATTTTCTATTGACTGATTGCTGATAGCATCCAGTCACACTTTCACCCTACCGCTCGGTCGCATCAACAAAGGCCAGCCCTTGTGTCTCTCTATTTTTTTCGAACAACCGCAAGCGCTTTATTACACCACAACGCGGTCGCCCTTAGGTGTCACTATTCGCAGTTACGATCAGCCATTTAACTGCTTGTCGCGTTCTACTAGGAACCTCGAACACGCCTGCGCCAGTGTTTAGTCACAGCCTTGAGTCGCATCCAGATCACAACCATGTCCGACAAAAGCAATACCGCCCGAGTTCAACGGCCGTCGCTGTCCTCCAGCATGAGAAGCAGCTCCTACCTCCAGGAGCACCAGCAGTACCGTGCCCCCAATAAGCCTGAGGGGCACTATGGCATCGACACGGTTGTCGAGGACATGAACGCGACATCGATCGCGACCTTGCCATCACCCATTATCCCTCCTAAGGGCGTCGCCCGCTTCAAGGGCATTCCTTCTCCTGAGCACCCGCCGACCATTGTCGAGAGTGGGCTGAGCCACGAACTCTCCCACCCCAACTGTACCCCGGCTCCCGGCACCAGAAGCGACAAACTCGTCGCGACTCTCTACTACAAGTCCACGGCGCCGCGCATCTCCAATGCTATTCCTTCGCTCCAGCAGGCGTCCTCTCCGGCTGGGAGCCAGTCACCCAAGGGTCGCGCCGCCGACTCTGAGATACCCAGTAACATGGCCCCGACCAGCAGCCTCGACACATTCCCCCTCGAGCCGCCCACTGCCGAACCAGAACCTCTCGACCACCTCTACGGCTCCTACGTCTCGCCCATGTGCATCACCTCTTTCCTCCACCTCATGTCTAGCTTCCCGCTACCTCCCGGCGCTTCTGACCTGAACTCGGCCCACCGCTGCCTAAAGCTCGATCAGACCCCCGACCACCACCCACTCGTGGTCGAGTTGACTCTCTCTCCCGGCCCTTCGCTTGACTATCTCCCTCTTGCGGATCTGCGCAAGCACGAGCTTATTTACCGGTTCGAGCGCGAGTGGAACGTCGATGTCGCCCTGCGTGCCGACACTCTTTTCCGCAGGTATCCTCGCCTAGTCGTCTTCGATATGGACAGCACTCTTATCACACAGGAGGTTATCGATCTCCTCGCTGCGACTATCAAGGACCCGCCCGACCTTGCCGCCCGCGTTGCCGACATCACCCACCGCGCCATGTTGGGCGAGCTCGAATTTGATTCCGCCTTCCGCGAGCGCGTGAAGTTGCTCACTGGCCTCCCTGGCACCCTCTTCAACGATCTTCGTCCCGTTCTAGAGGTTACCAACGGCGTGCGGCCCCTATTGCGCGCCCTTAAGCGCCTTGGTGTCAAGACCGCCGTTCTCTCTGGCGGCTTCCTACCTCTGACGAGCTGGTTGGCTGGCGAGCTCGGCCTCGACTATGCGCATGCGAATGAGGTGGTTATTGACGACGCGACTGGTCGTCTGACTGGTGAGGTAAAGGGTCGCATCGTCGGCGCGGAGCGCAAGCGCGAGCTGCTGATCGAGATTGCGGGTAAGGAGGGCATTCCGTTGGATCAGGTGGTGGCGGTAGGAGACGGAGCGAACGATCTGCTCATGATGGATGCGGCCGGTCTGGGTGTCGCGTGGAACGCAAAGCCGAGGGTGCAGATGGAGGCGAGCGCGAGGCTGAATGGCGATAGCTTGCTTGATTTGCTTTACCTGTTTGGGTTCAACGACGAGGAGATTTCGCAGCTCATCCAGTAAAGGAGCTAGTGTGAGTCAGATGGGGAGTAATAACATACGATTGGGATGGGACAGCAGTCCTTAGAGGGGCCATGAGTCTATCATAACGGCCACGTACATGGTATGCCGATGGGAGTCTGGGATGGATATGGTTTCTTGGTATACGCGATACCTCCAAGTACATAGTCGAGAAAAGAAAAGATAAAATGGTTGGACACAGAGGACGGCATGATGATAATTATGAGTTAGTTAGGCGATAGGATAGAACGAGTATCAAAGTATGAAATGGTCCATCTTTTTGCCAGCTTTTTGTCAGCCAGTCTACATAATCTCATGGCAGTGCCTATACCGCAAGCAACTTCCTAGAACATGTCGATCAAATCTCGATCGGATCACGGAAACGCACCCCAAGTGGGTATGACGTATGGTTACCGCAGGAGTGGGCAGGCTGCAGTGGACGCATTTTCTGGAACGTGGGTGTCTCCAGACCAGTTCGTGCCTGTGCGACGACTTTCGTCTATCAAGGTTCACGCGACTTGACCAACCGGAGATTGTTGGTTCTCTGCCAGAGGGACTAACCAGACTCGTTCACCTTTCCAAAACTAAGGGACTTTGTGCTTCAAGCTCGTACAGGCTTATGATAATCAAAACCTCGAGCAAATACGTCACATAATGGTTCGATAGGATGTGACTGGTTGAGGCAGAACAAGCCATCTTGTTAGAATTTGCAAGGTTTCTACGAGATGTTTTGGACATCTGATATATAGATAGACCTTAGTAGAATCTGGAAAAGAATGAACCATGTTACTTTTCGTAAGATGTAACTACTGTAGAATGAAGACTGTTTGACAGCTTGAATGCTTGTAGTGTCCGGTCCCAACACTACGATCCATTTTTCGAACATCGATAGACTCATGCTTTTGCTCAACATGTCCACTCGTGGTACGAATAAACGATAGCTATAGATATCTGGCACGTGAAAATGTGAATTCCTAGAAGTATTACATTTCAAACCAAAGTAATCCAACTATTACATAGGAGTTCACACAGCATACGTGGCCACAATATAAGTTGATATGCTAATGTGTTGAAAATACTCGTCGTTGTTCGAGTCCTCGACTCAAAACTTCACAGCTTCAGTCGCAACTGGCAAATTCCAAGTTTCTTGACGACACGATGCCTCGTGTGATCGAGAACCCTCTGGAACACACCCACACATAGTTCATCCCAAGATGACTACCTACGACTGTTTGTAATTTGCCACCCAGGATCTGGGCCAATAGCTCATCTGAAACCAAAGGCAAGGGAATGCTCGGCGAGGAGTCCCCATGAGTGAGGACGAATTAGGAAACTTGACTTTTTTCTTCTTCGTTGATTCCTCATCGATGGCTTCAAGTAATGCTTTGACTGCGAAGATCAGGCACTGATGACTATATTTTCTTTCTGGATTGACTTGCAGTACATTACAGTATAGTATCTGGATTCTTTGACCTCGTAGCTGACTACATATCGCCCCGTCTGACGCCAATCACGACGTCTCACTGACTGTGGTGGATGTTTTCATGGTGAAGTCGAGGTGAACCTTAACGGGCACCTCATCTGTGGTTGCCGTGCCACCAGAGGCCACAAACAGGGGTCCGAGGCCTTGGGCGGCAAACCATCAGGTTACTGGGGTCTCGACGTAACCCACCGACAAGTCATCCAATCAGACCAATGGGGGAAAGAGGCGGGAGGAAGGACGAAACCTGAACCGTTACAGTTGTTGAAGGGTTTCCAACGGGCTTTTTGCGGGTGTATCGATTACGCAGTACACATGCAAAAGTCAAAAATGTGCCGGTTGTCGGCAGTAGGCAGGGCGGGGACAGCAATAAAAAAAGAGAAAAAAAAGAAAATGAAATCAGAGGTTCGCCCGTTCGGTGGAGGCGGAGGAGGAAGAACCCTCATGGCCAACAAAGGACAGGACCTGGTACGATTTGCGTGAAAGAAAAAGCTTAGTGTTGTCCACTTTGACATTTTGCCAAACCCCACTTGATGGTGCTATTAAAACTCCGCAGACAGGGACAGATGTGCCGGAGAGCAACAAGGAATAAATTTTTCAGATAGCCCTAACCCCGGAACAACCAAGATCACGATTCTCACAAATCAGTAGGTTTCATTGGCGTTTGCATCCGTGTTCTCGTTGGTCTCGGTGAAGCTCGAGATATGACTCGGGCAACCACGACGGGCGTCTCACATCAGACCGGGATGAATGGGGGCTTCTACGCCACCATTGGCCTATCTAGCTCAATGTCAAACAATCCAGACATGCTAGGCTGAGTGGCATCGCATCTGACTACCAACGCAGCCGACAGCAAGGCATGGACAGCGTGCAGCACCGACCGAAAAAGCCATTTGTTCCCGGGAAGGGCAGGTGTCCAGGCCCGGCCCGGAACCAACGCATTGCGAGGGAGAGCCCTGGAGACGGGGGCAGCGGGCTGTGAAATGCGAAGTGAGAGAAGCATGATTCAAGACCCGAATGAGATTCAAGAAAAGGCCGGACAGGGTGACATCCATGGCCACGCTTTCACAATATCTCAACGTCGACGTACGTAGATACATGGGAACGTTCGCGGTCAACAAGGTTGGAAAGCAGTACTGCCCTTGTGCGGCAACGCTGCGGGGTGTGCCTCACCAGCGAATCAAAAAATTTTGAGTCGCGCCGGCCGCTAGAGAAACTCGTTAGATCCATTGTCGTTTCGCCTGTGGTTGGGCTGGAAGCTAGATGCGCCAAAGCCCAAACTGCATGAGCCCTTCACGGCTACGACGCAGGCGATCCCATGGAGTACCCTCATATCAATAATAACGTACATATCCACCGTGACCACTGAACTACACTAGTCTAAAGTGAAGCTTGTGGGTAGCGTAGGAAAAAAAAAATTTCATCAACAGTCGCTTGTCCATATCGTTTCCGGCAGCACTCACCGCAAATGCGTGTGTAGCGAGGGGTGAAGGGTGAGGCGAAAGCCAGGGATCGGCATCGAGACTCTATTGGAGGGGCAAACTGGTGCTTCACAACTCAGCAAATTCTCAGCCGAAAGGAGGGGCAGTGAAATAGAGGGGCAAGGCAGGCAGGCACCCAGTCGGAAGGGGAAAAGCTCACTACGTGTATAGGATGACCAATTGCAGCATACCAACAGTTGTTATCAGACTGGCTGATTTTTGCAAACTGAACCAGATCACCGTTTTTGTGTGCAATTTCTGATCAGACGAGATTTCGGTGATGGGTGCGATGAAGGCAACAAAATCACTCTGATAAATAGAAATCAGACGGTACATTTTCAAGAAAAATCCACTTTGGCTAGGGTAGTGTAGTAGTGAATGCGATTGAATAGCGTTTGAGGGGCTGTGAACGGTACCCAGCAAACAATAAGTCGGTACGTGAAGGGTCACGCATGGGACGGCAAGGCGCGGCATGAACAAGGGAGGTCAAAGTTTCGACGATTTTGAGGGCTAGCTCCACTTTTTCATTCCATTTTTTTTGTGCCCGGGCTCCTGCAGGCAGACCCGGCCCCATCAAGTCCATTTTTTTGCCCTCCCCACTGGACTTAAAATCTCAACCCTCCTCCAAACTATTTCAAGCTTTTCTTCCTCTTCCTCTCTTCGTCGGCATACCTGATTCAAGCAATCTCCTGCCACTTTCACATTTCTAGCGCAAAGTCGCCAGTCAGCACATCAACCGTCAAAATGGGGTACGTTAATCCATCATCACCTTGTCGTCGCTATCAATCAGATCGCGCGCGGTGCAGTCGCTCTACGCATCATTTGCTAACAACTGCCACAGCAAGGAGGACAAGACTCACATCAACGTCGTCGTTATCGGCCACGTCGATTCCGGCAAGTCCACCACTACCGGTCACTTGATCTACAAGTGCGGTGGTATCGACAAGCGTACAATCGAGAAGTTCGAGAAGGTCAGTCACCATCTGCTCAGCTCACCATTCACATCGCCATTCCCTTCTGCTCTGCCACCCTGCTGTCTTTGGGCCTTTCCCCGCTGGTTTGGCTTTGTGGCAACCCCTCACCTTCTCATGGTGGGGTTGGGGCTCAAAGATTTTCGCTTGGCTGCGCACAGACCCACTTACCCCGCGTTCAAACAACACCAAGCAACTCCAACTCATGTACACTCGACATGATGCTGACTATCAACTACAGGAAGCCGCTGAGCTCGGCAAGGGTTCCTTCAAGTATGCCTGGGTTCTTGACAAGCTCAAGGCCGAGCGTGAGCGTGGTATCACCATCGATATCGCCCTCTGGAAGTTCGAGACTCCCAAGTACTACGTCACCGTCATCGGTATGTCGCACTGTAGCCTTGCATCCATTCCAACTCATGCTAATTCATTACCTCAACAGATGCCCCCGGTCATCGTGATTTCATCAAGAACATGATCACTGGTACCTCCCAGGCTGATTGCGCTATTCTCATCATTGCCGCCGGTACTGGTGAGTTCGAGGCTGGTATCTCCAAGGATGGCCAGACCCGTGAGCACGCTCTGCTCGCCTACACCCTCGGTGTCAAGCAGCTCATCGTTGCCATCAACAAGATGGACACCACCCAGTGGTCCCAGACTCGTTTCGAGGAGATCATCAAGGAGACCAAGAACTTCATCAAGAAGGTTGGCTACAACCCCGCTGGTGTCGCTTTCGTCCCCATCTCCGGCTTCAACGGCGACAACATGCTTGAGCCCTCCACCAACTGCCCCTGGTACAAGGGTTGGGAGAAGGAGACCAAGGCCGGCAAGGCCACTGGCAAGACCCTCCTCGAGGCCATCGACGCCATTGAGCCCCCCAAGCGTCCTACCGACAAGCCCCTCCGTCTTCCCCTCCAGGATGTCTACAAGATCGGTGGTATCGGCACAGTGCCCGTCGGCCGTATCGAGACTGGTGTCCTCAAGCCCGGTATGGTCGTTACCTTCGCTCCTTCCAACGTCACCACTGAAGTCAAGTCCGTCGAGATGCACCACGAGCAGCTTGCTCAGGGTGTCCCCGGTGACAACGTCGGCTTCAACGTGAAGAACGTTTCCGTCAAGGATATCCGCCGTGGTAACGTTGCCGGTGACTCCAAGAACGACCCCCCTGCTGGCGCCGCCTCTTTCACCGCCCAGGTTATCGTTCTCAACCACCCCGGTCAGGTCGGTGCCGGCTACGCCCCCGTCCTCGACTGCCACACTGCCCACATTGCCTGCAAGTTCGCCGAGCTCCTCGAGAAGATCGACCGCCGTACTGGTAAGGCTGTTGAGGCCTCCCCCAAGTTCATCAAGTCTGGTGATGCTGCCATCGTCAAGATGATTCCCTCCAAGCCCATGTGCGTTGAGGCTTTCACCGACTACCCTCCCCTCGGCCGTTTCGCCGTCCGTGACATGCGTCAGACCGTCGCCGTCGGTGTCATCAAGGCCGTCGACAAGTCCACCGCTGCCGCTGGCAAGGTCACCAAGTCCGCTGCCAAGGCCGCCAAGAAGTAAATTATTTCTTCTTGACCAAGCAAAAAACTTACGAATCTCCTTGCGTTGCATGAGCACTCGGTTGTTTTGGGCACAATGATGAGAGGCTTGGTCTGGGATTTTACGACGGATACAAAACCTCCTGTGCTGAGGACAAGATAGAGGCTAGATAATGACTACAAAATGATGATTCCCCATGAACAAGCAACACAAACGTCCCCTTCTGTGCTTTCTTGCTGTGTCGTGCTCTTGTTCTCCACCTATTCGAGGTCTCCACCTTCTCCACCTATTCGAGGTCTCCACCTTCTCCTTCTGTTTCGGCCTTCTTCGTCTACTGGCTATGCATTTGTTAACAGTTTGTTGGTTGCCTGCACACCTACATCAATGATCTTTCTGCACATTCATACCTCCGTGTTGGTCATATATTTGGATTCCTTGCGCGCCCATCGTCGATCTCGTTCGTCTCGCCTATCTCCCAGTGATTCACTGAACATCCGAAGTCTTCTGTATAACTGTAAACAGCTTGTCGAACCATGGTTTGTCAAGTACATCTACTGACGCTCGCTGATACATCTCCTGTCTCCTTTTTACTGTCACCTTTTCACTCTTAGATTTGTCAGGCATATCGGGACGTCCTGTGCTCTCCTTAGTCGGAGTCGACCTTCGTATTGTTTATTTTGCTGCAATTCCAATGAACAACTGATGGTAGCAATTTGCTGTTCCAATCGATGTTGTCATCTGCGAAACGCTCTGCAGATCATTTCCTGGCTTCCGATGTCTTATTTTACTCAATTACTCTCTTCTACCGAGTCTCCATGTGTTGATCAAACCCTCATCTCGATGTTGTTACCTTGTTTGTTGAGCTTTACCACCATTCCGTGCTTCAGTTGTTCAATTGGGCACGGCAGTCATTACTCGATCAACCAGGGAAAAGATACATATAGCATAAAGAGAAGCCTAGCAAAGTATATGTGCAACGTCATCGGATATCCTTTCTTCTCTTCCTTCAGTCATTGTTCCTCCCAAGGCCCAGACTGGGCGTGTTGCAACTCCCGGTGGACAGGGTACTGCTATCTCACCAGCTAGGAAAGGGGTATTTCTAGGCGAAGAGGGATGGGAGAGCGTGCCCATGAGAAGATGAAACTATCTATCTATGAATGATGCAGCTACGGCTCATTATATTTGCGGGTTATGTTTCCTTCCCCCCCCCCCCCCCCCCCCCATTATCACTCCTTTTATTGTCGTCATGAACAGGTAGGTGGATTGAAGATGTAGGTTGGGAAGACATGTGGACATTGCACTGCAATCATAGAACTTGATCAGATGCGGTTTCCGATTTTCACTATCATGAGACATGACCAGTGATTAATTTCTAGTTTTCTAAGCGCCTTCGACGTTCTACTCAACTATGATGATGACGAAGATGGGCCTTGAGATGCTTGATGGTCACGGTTTCTGTCGATTTGTTCTTTGTTTGCAGCTTGCTAAAGAATGTGAAAGATATAGGCAACTGTGTATATTTACTGTAGAGGAAATGGAGTTTGATGACTTGTAATGGGAATCGGAGTTGCGTACAAGCTTGAGATTTTTGCACAAATTGGCGTTGCTTGGGACGCTATGTGTCTGCTGAGATGATGGTTTTAAGCCATGGAATTAATTGCGTTTTTCAACAATTAGTGTGAATATAATACGTGGTGAGTATGCATATCTTAGAATGGTTGATCAACACAAGTGTTGCTGTTATGTGCATTGCATTTATCTTGACATCATATCTTATCCCAGGAGATATTTCCTCCACCCGTCTAACCGTTCCGTATCTGAACTCGAACATCTTACACAATTCATACAGCTATTGGATTCCCTGTTGTACCAATTTTTGATAAAACCATGCCAGAACAAATTGAAGATCGCTCCGTTCCACACAAATCCCAAGGCCCTTTTCCCTTTTGCCGTTTAGTTTTTTTCCAACCCCGTATATATATATATATATGTATACATATGTGTGTGTGTGTTTCGACACAACTCATCACTCCACACAACTAAGATTACCTCCCTTGCCAAGCAGGTGGTGCTCTGCCGCTGACAATATCCTCAACAACATCCAGGAACGCATTGAGATGCTTGGGGTCGTTACCGTCCCAGGGATCAGAGTCATCAACGACCGACTCCTCTCCATCCTTCCTTTGGAGAGGAGGTAGCTCATCTAGCCACTCATCCTTCTTGATCTCCTCTTCGAGAGCACTCTTGAACTCTTGCTTTCCTGGAGCACCAGGGTCGCGGCCCTCCATATCCTCGAGATCAAGGTTATTGAGCTCATCCGCTGCTTCCTGTGCGGCGGCGGATCGGCTGGCCTTCTTCATCCCCGAAACAGACTCTTTGTCCGACTCAAGGAGCTCACGAAATTCTGCCTCATCAAGCGTGATGCCAGACTTCCAGTTAATTCCCCTTTCTTCAGGGGTGACGGGCTTAAGGTGGCCTTGCGACATATGCCCGTTGAGGGGAGTAATGGTAGCACTGCCGCCAGGCACAGCAGTGGGGTCAAGTTTGGCGGCTTCGCCAAGGTTGGGAGGAAGAGGACCCTTTCTGAGCTCCTGAAGATTATTGGGACCAAGTGCTCGGGTCACCTCGGCACGAACTGCATCCACGGAGAGCTCGGCGTACTTGCCACCGCGCTGACCAGCCTCAATGGATCGGTACGTGGCAGTGAAACCCTTGTAATCGGCTGCCACGCGCCTATGGATCTCCATACCCGCGAAGAGATACTTAACGGGAACGTCTTCTTCGTCAATACTTCTGGTAGATGGCCCGGACAAGAGGCGCTTAGGTAGTGGCAATGCTTCGATCGAAGATGGGGTCTTGAGCTTTCCATCCCAAGGACGCAAGTCCGATTTCTTCACGAATTCAACGATAGGTCCGCACTCGCCTATGCTTCTGACGTCCATGGTATAATGGCGGCGCTGCTTGAGTCGGACATCGATTGGCGAACTGGGACAAATGACGTCTCCTGTGAAAGACTCAGTGATGGCGCGAAGAGAGCTGAAACCCTTGATCTCGCGATGGTCAGCTTCAAGAACCAGCTCTAGGTCGGGAGCAGACGTGGCCTTGATGGGACCGGGCTGCTCCGGGGCAGGTACGAAGCGCATGACGATATCAGAGTGGTAGAGTCCCTGAGTCTTGAGGTTGTTGGCGAACTTTAGTTCAGAAATCGGAGGGAGCACAGGCATGAAGGTTCGGCTGAGAGAAGTATCGAGACGGCTTGGGAAGCCAGAGGTGGAAGCCGACCCGGCAATACGGCTACGCTGGGCTTGCGCCGGGTCCGGCGATCGAGACGCAGCATGGAGGACATGGCCGAAAATGGCACGGGTATCTGTCTCCGGTACTTCCGACCACCCCTTCGCGCTCTGGCCCGTGTGCAACTCGGGGAATGAAGCCTCGAGCTGCCGATGGCGAGGTGCTTCCTTAGCCAGGTTGAGTGGGTGTGGAAGAATATCGGGGGGTATCTTTACGCCTGTAGAGGAAGATCCTGCCTTGGGCACCGCCGCGATCCACCTCGCCCACAGCTTGATCCGTTCCTGCCAGGGGAGCTTCGGTTGACAGTTGGGCTCGACAAGGTAGCGGCCGCTTTCTGTCGCGGAAGGGGGAAGGGTCAGGGTAATATGCTCGGTACGCGGCTTCTGGCCAAAAGCAACAAGAAGGAAGCGTAGGACAATGTCGGCCATGTTCTCCAAGGTTTCGTTCCGCCCAGGCATGTCAACCCAGGTAACATTAATCTGATAATAGTCGAAAACGGTAAGCACTTGGCCGAGGAGTAAGGAAGATGGTACACCGGCAACTTACCTTGTCACCCGCTGGGTCGAGGCGAACCACAGAGTGAGTAACATCACCTACTGACTTAAGAACTGCTGGGTTCTTGGCCTGTTTGGTAACGAGACTAAGGTCAAGGCTGATGGTCTTTGCATGCTCGAGAACTCTGTTGACTTCAGAAAGAACGAGTTCACTCATGGCCTTTGGCGCGTTGATACAAATCGCGTTACTCGAAGGAATGAGTTCGATCTTCTGACCAGCAATCAGGGAATTTCGCGAAATATCGGCGAGCCATCTCCTCGATCCAACTGGCATTTTGAGTAAGGGTTAGTTACGATTTGGCAAGAATGCTGACCAGGAATTTACGTACGCATCAAAAGTGAAAACTCGGTATCACGCAGACTCACGACCAAGTGGCCTTGGCCGTCAATGATATCGTGGGAAGCCAGCTCCCAGCACTCAAGCATAATCCGCAGGGCAAGCTTCTGCTTCGGCTTTGTGTCCGAACCGTAGTATCCGCGCAACGTAGGGTGTCTGTAGTCGTAGGGCGTCATGGCGCCCTCAACGGCGGGAATCCAAGGATAGCGCCTGACGATCCAAGGGGGATCCTCTGCAAGGGGCTTCGACAGCACTTGTTGGGCTTCCGCATGATGGATAAGATATTGTTCCAGTTGCCGACTGGTAAAGCTTGTGTAAAGCGTCTCCAAGAGCTCCGCGAACTGCTTTCCGGTAAGGACAGCCTCTTCAGGCCGGAGTTCCTGTATGTTCTCGAGAATTTCCTCCTCCACGGGATACAGATCATGTTTCTCCAAAGACTCCTCAAGATCAACCACGGCGGCATGCGCAGGAGCTGGCGTAACCTGTGGTGTTTGGCGCTTACTCAGTTTGCCTCGACTGCGAAGGACAACCACTTGCGAGGGCTTCCCTAACATGCCGACAGTTAGGTCTTCCTGCTTGACAGCCATCCTCTGACCCTTGTGCCTGACCAACGTCTCCTGTTTCCTTTCTCTTCTTTCCGCCGGCGAGTATCTTATTATATTGGGCCCCTGTGCTCCATCGCCATGTTGAGTGCCATTTTCGGTGCTAGATGAAGCGGTCTCTTCTTCCCGGTTGCTCTGGAGCTCGCTGTCGACGGCATCGAAGCCCTGAATGATTTGTCTGGTTATATCCGCCGGGTCCGCACGACCCTGATCGGCCGTGCCGTGGAAGGGTTCTGGATTGAATAGGTCATGTTTTCGGTTCGGTTCGTCAGGCGCATCGGTTCCCTTGCTACGTTGCCTGCTGGTCTCGGCGGCATCGGCTCGGTCTGAGGTATAGTGCCGTCTGTTGGCAAAGGGTGCAGCAGGAGTGGGAGTAACAGCGGCGGCGCGCGTTGCCGTTGGTGGTTCAAATGGTAGCGGCCTTCTGGTCGTCAAGGTGGTTGCGGCACCGGCGAGTTGCAAGCGGCATCGCAGGCAAACAAAGCTGCCGCCGACCTTTCGACTGAGCATCTGAAACAAAATGGGAAGAAAAGACCAAGTATAACAAGAGGAATACAACACGCTATACTTTCCCAAATCACTTCACAACATCTCAATGGCGATCGGGATGGGTGGAGGACTCTTGCCGGCAACATCGAGGCCGGGCGACTGATGAATTTTAGGTGGGGCGCGAATCTCTGATCGCAACCTCCCGGCAGGCAAGGACCCTGCATGTGCTGCATACCAGACGCGACCTGGCGCGACTTACTGCATGCAACTTCACTGACACCATTTACGTAGTGTACATCTGACAACTTGAACAGGACCTTGCGATTTCCCCTCATTCCTTGCCCCTCCAGATAACAGGACAGTACTTGATTACTAAAATACCTGTGCTACTCATCATTTGAGCCTCGCACCACGTCTTGTCTCAAGTCAACATACGATCACTCTATCTCTTGAAGCATTCGCATCGCACCCATTGCACACTCAGCATTTGTGGGGTGGACCGGAGATCATGCCACCAACACAGCGCCAGCGCCGACAGGTACGGGATATATGGCACAGAACATTGCCAACCACCATATTGGATTCGGAGTGAACTAACAAGCGCAATTTATAGGCCGCCGAGTCCGATGAAGACGAAGATGTCCATCAACGCCTCGACAGCCCCGCGGACGACGGAAATTCTGAGGTGGACCACATGCACGGTGTCGAGCGAGGCGAGACAAGCCAGCTCATCAAGAAGCTGGTGCGATATGCCCTCGCTTGCGAATACTCCAGAACACCGATCCGCAGAGACGGCATCAAAGAAAGAGTCCTCGGTATCCACGGTCGGGAGTTTAAGAAGGTGTTTGCTGGGGCCCAGAAGCAGCTGCGAGCTACATTTGGCATGGAGATGGTCGAGCTGCCCACCAAGGACAGGAACCTTTTGACGGTTGAGCAGAAGAGAAAAGGTGTATTCACGGCCTGTAGTCAAGTTGTCTTTCTCTCTCAAGATCTGCTAACTTCTTTCGTGTTTCTCAGCCACGAAATCCCAGAGTCAGAAGGAGCCCACATCAAACTCTTACATGCTCGTTTCGGTCTTGCCCGAGTGCCTCAGAGTTCCCGACATCATCGCCCCGTCCAAAGTCCAGTCGGCTGATGGCGAAGCTGCATATATCGGTATCTACACAATGCTCATTGCCATCATCACACTCAGTGGTGGCGAGCTAAGTGATCCGCGCCTGCGACGATACCTCACCCGTCTCAATGCGGCCGAGAACATGCCAAGTTCCAACCCCAACAACGAAAATGCGCCGAGCGAGAAAACCGAGCTAGTCCTCCAGCGTATGACTAAGCAGGGTTACCTTGTGAGGGTTGCGGACAACAAAAATGCGGGAGACGACGATGCGATTACCTGGCACGTTGGGCCTCGTGGCAAGGTGGAAGTGGACAATGAAGCCATTGCTGCCGTGGTCCGAGAAGTCTATGGCGGCGGCCGACCAAACGAGGATCTGGAGAGGAAGCTCCAAGCTAGTTTGAAGGTGAAGGAGAGGAAGCCGCCAAGGTCAGCAGCGGCGGATCGAGCTCCGGCCACAATCCAAGAGGATGAGGAAGAGGAAGACGCGGAAGGAAACGACGAGCCGGAGCCCGGCCCGAGTACTAGACGAGGAAGACGGGGGTAGGCGCTCCTATCTGGGTTTTATTCTTTCTGGTTTCGTCTGTTTGGATTGGCGCAAGGCGTTGTTAGGGTATCTGTGTTCTAAAATACCTGTGGGCTATGAATAAGGAGGGTAAGAAGGTAAAGGCCTTACGACATTATAATGTCTGGAGATAGGGTATTCCTTGTCCCCATATGCAATTTGTTCTTGCAAAGCGAATAGCGCCCGGGTGAGCTACTCGTATCGATGTAGTAGGATCGAGGCTAGTAAGTTTTAAAAGCAGTTGTTGTTGTTGTTGCTGTCCGTCCTGTGCCCAAGGCGAATCTCGGCATATCTCCTTTTCGCATTGCCGTACCAGGGATATAGCCACAGAACAGTATGCAGTGGCGGTCATTATGAATTCTTTCTCCGTTTCACTTCCCATTCAAGCATGCGCTTCTAAGCATCGGCCTTTCGGTCAACAAGCATAGGCTCCTCGCCCTCCCTGGGCGGAGGCGGTCCCATCGGTTGCAGCATTTTCTGACAGACAAAGAACAAACATTAGCTTGACGCAACATCCCGATTCCCTCCACATATAAAACGGTGACGTACGCGAATAAGTCTTGCGCGGACCTTGGCCGCAGGCTCATTTTCAGCTAGCGCTATGTACGATAAGAGAGGTGGGTGTCCGACAATGCTGGAGTACGTGTCGCGGTGGATGTTGGTTTTCCACTCCCAGCTCGTCGTGTCTGGGTGACCGGTGCCAATGTACTTGGCCTGGAGCCGCTCGAGTTCCTGTTGGGTACGAAGCTTGTCCGCCTGTTGATGGTTGAGGTTTTGGGTCAGTATGCGCCGGAAGAAGGGCTGGGAAGCAGACAGCGTGGTCCCACCATTATGAGATTAAATCCGAGCACACTTTTATTGAATGATTCGATCCGGAAAGAAGGGGTGAAAGGATGATGATTGGGATGACGGGATGTTGCTGTTGTTGTCGTTGTCGAGAGGTACGATGAATATTTAGTTGGAAAGCAGGGACGCTGTACGCCAGTGCGATACGCGCTGAGTGGATGCAATGGACGACGACGGGACCTGAAGTGCTTGCGCCCTGCAAGGCTTCGTTGTTTGTTCCCATAGCGCAGTGCGGCAAACTGGAACGCCAAGCCTTTGAGCCAGTGAACGGACCACCTGCCAGTGGAGCCAAAGGTGGAGTACCCTGGTGAAACGGGCTCGGTGGGGGGAGTTGCCCACTGGAGACTTCAGGTTGGGACTGCACTCCCCCGGGCCCGGGCCATCTTGACCACTACGCGGTGCCGGGGGCACTAGGTACGCAACTTGACATTGGCAACCTCGACGTGACGGCACTTCAAGGTTGAAACTCCCGGCCGTCCTCAGCCTTGAGTCTTCACGAAGCGGCAGAAACCTGGAAGTTTCCAGTTGGAAGTGAAGCCATCCACGTACATTTCTAAATTCCATCCATCTCACACAAGGTACAATTCTCCAGCTTGTCGACCAACTAATTCAGCTTTGCCGGCTTGACAAACTTCTTTCATACCTACATTTCACCACTTTTGACAGGACTAACTCTCTCTCTTTCATGTTCGCAACCAGACGCAAAATACTTTGGTCCATCCACTCTTCCTTTACAAGATACCCATTTTCTTTTTGGTTGTTCTTATAAAGCACATTTCCACTGGATGCGACCATCGGTTCAGTTTACAACTACAGCTTTTGATACCACTCAACTCACCCAAGCCACCATTGTCCTTGTTACTGGCCCTGACACTGGCATTCAGTCTACGAATCACACACGCGCCTTTGGCCTCGTCTGTCCCACCATGGCAGACGATCTATTATATTTGTCCAGTCTCACCGTGAGCAGAGATAAGCAACTTGCCAAACACCTTGACGGTATCCGGTCGCAATGCATATCACAACACGGTTCCTTACGCTCCAACAGTGCCACTGGTGCTCACCCATCAGTATCATCATCAACAACAACATCATCATCATCACCACCACCGAAATTCCTAGTCACATGCCCGGACTGCTACCGAAAGGCCTTGGACCTCGTCCGCGCACGCTACCACCAATCACGCGCCGCCGCTGCCGGCGAGTGGTGCACAACACGGCGCTCCTTCTTGCGGGACATCGACACCATGCTAGCTGGTGCGAAGGAATATCAAGTTGATCCACGAACCATCGACGACCGTGTACAGGCTGAGCGGGACAGTTGGTACCTCGAGGTCGTACAATCCTCACTTGTGCGGCTCTTACGAACCGTCATCGGAAAACTGGACGATGCCGTCCTCCCGGATGATGCAGACCCGGCGGCAGCGGCAGCAAAGGATCATATTGTCGAGAGGATAGAGGAACTGCAGCAAGCGCGCCAGGCGGCACGGTCACATCAGAATGTACTTCGCCTGGCCGAAGATATCGACAAGCTACTGCAGGGCGGGAAGGACGAGAATGGAGACGCAACCATGACGGGGATGGATACTGGCTTCCCGCCTGAGTTTGCCGCTGCAGAAACGAGCGATGAGGACCGAGTGGAGATTATGAGGAAGTCGTTTTGCAGCACAGTCGCACAGGGGGGTGACGAGAAGAACTTGCAAGGCTCTCAGAAGAAGTACTTCGACATGTTCAAAAACGGGACACCATTGGGCCAGGTGATCGACAGGATATTAGACGACAGGAAGGAGGCAACGGGGGCACATGCCAAGATCGGCCAGGTTAAGAAACGATTGGAAGATCTGAAGAGAGCTCGGGCGGCATACGAACTACAGAAGACGAAGAAGGCCAGCATATCGGAGCACAAGGTCCCAGAAGAGCTTTACAACCTGCCCGCGTGCCACAACTGCGGACAGATGCCCAAGACTAGGGATTTCCTGAGCTGCCCTTTATGTATGGTTTTGGTGCAAAAAGGTGTAAGGGAACGGCAGACTGTGTGGTGTTCGCCGGGATGCAACACCGAAGGCCTGGTAAGTGCTTTTCTTCCTTCTCAAGATATGTGTTTAGACGGCGGCGTACACGGCTCCTCAGATCTTCGGCCCAGCCTTATTAACCCTCCTCATCTAGCCCAGCCACATCGAAACCGACCACCAATGCGCCTCCAGAGACGACTGTGTCCAAGTCAACCCTCTCCGCCACAGTCACCAACACTATGACCCGGACCAAGACGTTAATATGGACGGCACCAGCACGGTCGCTTCGTCGCCCGTTGACTCGGACCCCAACGCCTCGAGCCCCGTCTGCTTCTGCCGTGAATGTCTGACCACGCTCAAGTGCGAATCTGTCTTCTGCTCTCTGCGATGCTACGACCTAAACTTTCAAGGCCACCGCGAAAACATCCACATGCCCACGCGCCGGCAGCTGAACATCATCGTCACCGACCGCCAACATCTCGAGTACTTTCCCATGCCGCCGCTCTCCTCCTCGTCGGGTCCGAGCGCGAGAGATAGAGACAGGGATAGAGGCGACAGGGACAGCTACAACAACCGCAACCGTAACAACAATGACAACAACGACGACGGCGGCCCCAACAGCGGACTCGGCGAGAATCCTCCGTTCCTGCAGATTAGGACTCGGTACAAAGCCAGGAACATCAAGGATCATGTCATCCCGTTCGACGAAGCCATTAGCAACTGGGAGGAAGCGAACCAGGTTAAGGCGCAAATCTAGGAGATTCAAAAGAAGCGCTGGCACTGGCACAGCTAGTAGGAAAGTTGATCTTGGCTGAACCAGGAGGGAGGTTTGAGGGAAGATGCAAGGCTTGTGTACGACGGCACATACAAAGGGGCCACGAATTTCAGGAAGGCGAGAATCATGAAGGGAGGAAAATTTTCGCCTCTTGCATCACCGATATGGAGGATACGGAATACATGGATGGGATGGTAGAAGCCCTTTCTGCTGTCTTCTGATCGTATATATGTGTATGACATTGGGAGAAGAAGGATGGGTTGAAAACAAGCATTGGGCGGCAACCTGTGTTTATATATCATTGTTTTGGGTTGGAGAAAGAAAGAGACAAACAAGTCACTTGAAGTTCGAAGCTAGGCAACGGGAATGGGGGGAAGAAGAAAATACACTACATCGAAATCGTCAATTGGTTATTTGCCAGGCGTGCGTACCTTCTGAACTGGAAAATCTCCAAAGCAACAGCTACGACTACGAGAAGTACCATATATGGAGTTGCTGAAGAAAGGATGATGACTTCCGTTGAGAGTCGAACCAGCAACAGGATATTTAATCATCTAATTTCTAGATATCCTCCCGTTCTCTGGCTCATCCACTGTGAGTAAAACTGCCTTTCATGCTGCCACTCCCATTTTTCTCATCAGCACGTACAGATGCCATAATACAAAACAACCAGCAAGAAAGAACAAGTGCCATGCGGCGAGAAAAGAAGATAGGTGTACGAAATAAGAAAGTAGATAAAGGGCTGTCTGTGGGTATTCCATATCCGTAAACAATCAAACAAGCCATGCAGAAACATAACACATGAAACACATCGAAACACTCTCTGCTCTGTCTCCATAACATGTTACCTCCTGTCCACGTCTGATCATGTACTGCCAGACTCCGAGGCAAGAATAGGAACTACCATACAGTAATGGATGCGCTGAACGGAATCTCCACGTCCGGCGTTATCAAATGGGTATCCCAGTGCCGCTGGGCTACATTCTGCTCAAAGTATATTCAGACGCATGGTACCATCAGCTGTTCGGTCTGAAATGGCGTAATTCGATATCCGATGGTACTGGAAAGGATACCATTTCGAAGTATCGGAACAAGAGGCCAATCAGACAGGCATCGGCACTCATAGCTGGCCAGAACCACACTAACGGATCTTTGCGCCGTGTTGCTTCAGCCTGCTCGTCCTCCAGTTCTCGTACCACTGTTCCCGACTGGCCTCCCGCAAATCGGAACGCCACTCGTTGAAGACGGCATCCTTAAGACGAACAAAGTCGCAGTGCTCTTCATTGTAGGGATCCGCAAAACCCCAGGGGAATTTGCGGCCGATGACACCCGGCTCATAGAGATCTGGGCTGATGATCGACATGGGGACGAAGGGAATTTCATCCTCGGAAGTAGCCTCCTCTGAAGGCTTGTGGCGGCGAACGGAGCCATTAGAGTGTCGGTTAGAGCTGGGTGAAGACCCTTGCTTTGCGGTAAGACGCTCTTCATCATGAACAGCCTCCTCTGTGTCACTGTGGTCGAACACAGGATTCTCTTCTTCTTCATCGATACGGTCAGAGGAGTCGTCGTCATCTTCCTCATCCAGTCCAAGGGCCTGCAAAGGATCCAGGTTGGCCCTCTTAAGGCTATCCCAGACCGCCCTCTTTAGCACGCTCATGTGCTTCGTTGTGATAGTATCAGCCTTGGCTATAACCGGGATCACCGTGGTCTTTCCATGGAGTGTTCGCATAACTTGCAAATCGAGGTCTTCGTCCAAAGCCCCCGCGATACGAGAAGAGGGAGAGTGCCTGATGCCGTTGAGAAACATATTGCCAGCGCCGGCCCAGCTGGCTGCGATGTTTCGATCAAGTCGTGCAGGGTCGAGGAGGAGGAAGACGGCGTGGATGTGGGTATCCTGTACACCAGGCGATCTCACGACCTTCATCTCCTCTACGAATGTTTCCTCAAACTTGCTCTCCAAGAAACTTGATAGCTCGCGGAGCTGCAAATCAACAACATTCTTTTCCAGTCCCTCTGAATCCCACAATGTCAATCCGACGCGTTCACCGTCGAACTCGGTTTCGAGATAATGCGGAATGAAGTTACCGGAAGGTGAGGGTTTCGGAGAGTGATCTTGCTGGTCAACGGGCTTTCCCCGCCGTTTGGGTAGTGCCAAGGCACTCTTGAGGAACTCCAAGAACGATGTTTTTCCCGAGTTGCTGGCACCGACAACGAGGATACTGTTGAGTGGAAGGTTAGAATCGAGGAGCTCTCGCACGAGTCGTTTGATCACACTTACTTGAAGGCAGTCGGATCCTTTCTTCTGCGGACTCTTCTGGGGCTGTTGATGGTGCTAACTGCACTGCTAGCATAGCTGTAACGTCCACGATGCGCCATACTGGTGGCATTGACGTAAGGGTCGAAGCCGCTGGGAATGGGGGGAGGCGGAGGGACTTTGTATAATGAGCGTGGAGCCTCCATGGATGGACGAGCAGTAGAAGATATAGAGTAATTAGATGAGTGTCCGACGCCCGTCGAGTCCGTGGTTCCTGAGATGATTGCGAGTGAATCGGGACGAGCCTCGGTACCGAGCCCTAGTTGGGGAGCGGGGGCTCCGTTGTAGAGGGCGGGCAGCCGAGGAGGGGACTGAGGAAGTGCAGCATCACGCTGGCGCTGGAGCTCTTGCGCTTTGGCCTGCTGCTGCTGCTTCTTCATGTCGCCACTCTTGGTCCTGCGTAGTAACATTCCTCCAAAACTAGATCGGCGAGCAGGAGACTGGTTCATAGCTCTCGGTGAGAGACGAAATGCAAGTGATCGACGCGTGTCGAGCTTTGACTGCGTAGGTATGCTTCGGCAGAAAAAGGCGGTCGACTTGTATCCTCGGCAACTGCGATATGCACTCTACCTGTCGAGAGGTAACTAAAGCCGACCACAGAGAAAAAGGTGGACAAATAATATTGGTCCTTAAGTCAGTTGGTTGGCAGGCAGCAGACAAGTTCGACAACTTTGATGAGGAAGCGATCGATGACCGGGCTGTGGGCCTGTCAAGATGGTGGTTAGCTTTCGAACCATGGTGAAAGGAAAGCGAGAGGCTGCAGTGGAAAGTGTTTGAGGATAAGTAGAGGTAGTCCAGCTGGCCGCCTCACTGCCAACCTATGTTGGTTGGTGGACTCAAGAAGGAAGGGAATCCCTTCCATTGCCTCGAAGCGGGTAGGAGCTGATCTAGGTAAGTTTGACTTGGAGCTGCCTACCTCTAGAAAAAAACTTGTATACCTTTGCTAGAGGTACCTATCTCTAGCGTTGGATCACAGTGGCTGTCGAGATTGGAAGATGGAAGGGCAAGCGCGAAATACAGTTTCGCAAGTGTTACTGGAGGATGCAAGGGTCTGTTCCAATAACATGAACTAACCCTCCAAAGTCAGGACTTCTCACCCAGTTTGCGGTCGATATCCCGAGGCAGAACCGGCGTGATTCGTAAAACGGAATAGGAACACGGAAGGTGCAGAATATTCGGAAGAGCGAGCGAAGGGTGAGCGGCAGTTGGCGTCGAACAGTTGAGACTGGCAGGCAGAGTACGGATGAAATGAAGGAAACCAAAGGTCTCGAGCCTCAGCCGGGATGCAACCAACGACTTTTGGAGCAAGATGTATAATATTCTCTGGATTTTGATTTCGTCAGTACACTCCTTTCATCTTCGTTCTTCTTGGTGTTCTCCTTGGTCCGCGATATCTTTTCATCCTCGTCACTTTCAACCTTGATTGGTCAAACTGACTGATGTCTCTTTCAACAGCTTCCATAAAAACCAGAAACCACGGCCAAATATCGCGCGGTACTGCTTATCCTCGAACAGTTCTCGACAATATCATGATAATGGACCAGCACGTCCAATGGCATGTGGTAGCTGCGGCGCAAAAGAACTGACAACTTACGTGAACCTTGACGGCCTCGGGCGAAACGACGTCAAGATGAAACGACGGGATGGCGGTTTGTGACCGTACAAAACGGTAGTGCGCGCGAGACTTGCTCAGCGCGGAGGAGGGAATAAGCAAGAATCGAGATGGATATTTGTAGTTGTGTAAGAGGGAAAGGAAGAGGAGGATAGACGACAACCAGCTGTCGATGAGATCACAAACGACTTTGGACCGATGGAGGTGAGTCGCAGAAAGAAGGACGTTGGGCGCGGAGAAGAAACAGAAACAGAAACAAAAAAGAAGACCTTCCCGACCAGAAGAAACGCTGGTCAGGCACAAGACAAGCGGATTGGCTGGCGGCGAGGTTGAATCCCCGGCGGATGTCGCATGGCACAGAGCCTGGGATGACCAGGGTCAGAGCAACCACTAAATAAAGACGGGGGCCAAGCTACACCCTTGACCTTCGTGCCAACTGCCTGGTTGGGCCAGCGAGAGTTTCTAAGCTCCCCACCTATCACCATCTACGACCCTGGAGATGAGATGGGTTGAAGAAGATTCCCGATTTGAAACGCAGAAACCGGGGAAGCGCAAGAGACACAAGCCTTGGCTTTGTCCTGTCTTGCGTCTTCAACCCGCTGTCTCGCCGCCTCGGAGTCTGTATGCTTTGATTTCCTGAGGGCACAAGAAGACACTCATTTTCGCGATATCTTTACCTTCAAGCGGATCGCACGGACTGTTTGGGTCGGCCCCTATTAGATTGTAGCGGGTGATGGCCCATGTTATTCTGTTCCAACCGTCCAACGCCGGGCTAAGGTGGTACCGACCATTCCCTTATGCACATGCCTTGAGAAGCTAACCGATCGTCCAGACTCTAACCCAGTCTCGACAACCGGCCGAGCCGACGCCAGAGAAAACACTCTTCAAGCAGACATCCCGCACCATCGAATCTTGACTGCTCTCTGGATGCTCCCCTCCTCGGCCCTCTACAGAATTCGTGTTGCACAGAGAAGTACGCGCCCTTCTCAGTCGGCCAGTGACGGCTGTGCACGCGTCTTTCCGTTGTCCATCGTGTTCTCAAGGTGGATATGGCCGCACGGAGAGTATTAAAGCTGAAGCCACGTGCGGTTGTACGCACTCGAAGCTATTCTCGCCCACAGTTCCAGAAGCTCGGACGGCTCGTAGGGTTTGGAGGAGGCATAGAAGGCGTGTAATCCTCAGGCCAGGCCAAATCCGTACTGCAGAGAACAAATGTCGGGGGTTACATGGAATAACGTTTGCGGTTGCAAGCCAGAGCCACCTGGTAGAGCCAGTGCAACGTAGCCAAGCATCGGTAGCAAACAAAACAAATGGCTTCCTCCAAAAGAACACGAACTCACTCATGCGCACAGCGCAGAACAGTGTTGAGTCTCATCTGGGCTGAGGGAGGATGGGTATGGGTGGTACACTAGGACTTCTCCGTTCGGTACTCAATTTTATTTCAGGAGGAGACGTTCGTTCACACTCAACACAACCCCCCCGCCCAGCTCTTTAAGCTATGTGGAGAATAGTGGCTTCAGTGGGTCCGCCTCCATTCCCTCCCCTCGTGGTGCAAGTCCAACCCCTGTTTGCTCAGGTACCTGTTTCACATTGAACGCGGACTCCACGAGATATTCAACGCTATTCCTGTTTGGGGGAATGGCCTAAGCGCTTTGTGCATGATGCATCACATTGGATAATTCGGCGACGAAACCCCAACTCCCATGGTTCGAGCACGTTGTGTCTTTGGAAGAGGAGTGATATCCGTTTACGGGTGAGAGAAATTAGTTCTTCTCAGCTTAGCCAGATGGATCCTTGGATTACGTCTCGACATACAGGGACAAGGATCGAAAAGAGTTATAGATGAGACGTCACCAGGATGAATGTCATATATGAACGTGGTCTGCGTGGCCAACAGCTTCTCGGAACAGGAAAGAGGATAGATACATGCCAATAACATCCTTGCCAGGCCCAAGATAAGGAAGGACACTACTGTGTGCACAGGCACGAAGGGTCTTCTTGTGTCAGATATCTCCACCTGGGCAACTTGTCTCCATCCAGGCGCCTCCCCTTCCTCCACTAACTCTCAGTGTAGTCAGTTTTACACTAGATGTTTGGTGGCTTTTGGATAGGCAGCGCATACGCTACAGTCCAATGCCCGCGAGTCTGGCGAGACCCAAAAAGTGGGGGTGAGGCACGGGTACTGGTTGATTCTTGGTTTACCACCATGGATCAACTTCGCTAGGTGTAACGATGTCTGATTTATTAGTTTGATTTCATTATTATAGCGTGATATAACCTTGAATATATATTGGTCGCTGTTGATACCTTTCAATCTGTGCTTAACCATCAAATTTGTCCTTGTGAGGTGTGGGACAATTTGGGATGGATAACCGTTCAGTATACCAAGAGTACCAAGCTGACACGCAAAATCAGCATTGGACCGTAGTACAAGAGGAGTGGGATCGTTTGACATCTCAAGCCTATAAGATGGTCAAAGAAGAAATCTATCATTGAAGTTGAGAGCCCATATCTATCCTGCGCCCCAACGCCTTGCATACCCGTCATCAACACCAACCTGTGCGCCCCGGCTATCCGCTCTAGATGTCTTCAATACTCAAAGAAGCTACCCCTCCACCGCTCACGGGGCGTGCTGAAATGTACATGTAGAGGTATCCTCCTGGGAACAAAAAAAAAAAAAGAGTTGTCTTTAACCACACATGAGTACAGCCCAGCACTGATAATGATCATCATCAGCCTTCAAAGACATTGTGCTGCAACTCAACCCCAAACTCATTCGCGACATCTCTCATCCTTGCCTCCAACTCATCCTCCATACCTCCCCCGCGATGCAGCAACTGCCTCACCCGGAAGAAGTAAAACGCCACGTCTGTCAGCGCCAGCACGCACTTGAACAAAAAGTGATGCCAGTAATTCACCAACCGCTGTCCGAGCGGGAGGTTTGGATCCTGGAACGAGCTCCGGCTGGCCCATTCGCCCATCATCTTGATACGGTTCACGGGCGAGCCCAGGTACTGATTGTTTCCTTGGACTATACGCATGTTGCGCCCGATGAAGATAAGCTCCTTGGGCCACTTGTCCTCGTCCGCAAGCACGTCGCGGATCCCTTGCTTCATGCGTGCCTGCATCTCATAGGAGCGCTCGCTGGCCGTCTTGTTGCCATCCAGGTGCTTCATCAGCTTGGCCTGAAACCCGCCGTCGTCGCCTCCCTCGTATGGACGGAGGAGCGTTGCCGAGGCAAATAGGTCGGCGGCTTTGATGCCCCATTCGTCCGTGATTTCCTTGATCTTGTTGTTGTCGAAGGTCATCAGTGCCTTCCAGAACTCGCCGTATTCGTGCCGGAACTTGTCGCTCATGTAGACGTAGAGACCATGGTCGATGAGCACGAGCTCAGCTCGCCCGTTGGGCAAGCGCCGGATGAAAACGTTGCCTGGGTGCGGATCGCAGTGGACGACTCCCCACTTGAAGATTTGGGCAGAGAAGAGATCGACCATGGTGGTCATGACATCCTTCGTTGAGAGTCCGAGGCCACCCTTGCCGCGCCGTCCTTTCCACTCGGTCCGCTCGGGCTTAATCATAAACGTGTCGCCTTGCGTGTTCTTGCGAAGTGCGCTCCGGATGGCGGGCATGTCGGGCGGGTCTAGTTGGGCGCCGTGGACGCCGGCTGACCCTTTGCCGTAGCCGCCTAGCCAGGGCCGGGTCATGGCGTCCTTGTCCCATAGTCTGATGCCCTCGATCCATTCAGTCGTGAGGACGCGCTTGGAGCTG